AGAGACATAGAGACAGAAAGCGAGAAATCACCCCTCATGGGGGATGGTCACACCGTAATCCCTTCTCCTCTATTCTCCTCTTGGGATCTTGGGCACGCATGCACACGCGCCCAGCGTGAGTTTTAAGCCACTGGGTCCGGGATGCGAACCACAGTCGACTATGTGGGAGTCTAGCGACATAGCCATTACGCTAACTGCTGGTCCCTTTTTAACAAAGATTTTATTTATTTATTTAGAGAGGTTCTTTTGTGTGCTTGCCAGAGAAACAGAGAGTCTGAGAGACAGAAAGTGAGAAATCACCCCCCCAGAGGGGATGGCAATGCCATAATCCCTTCTCTTCCATTCCCCTCCTGGGATCTTGGGCACGTACCATACACACCCAGTGTGAGTTTCAACCCTCCAGGTCCAGGACTTGAACCACTGTCAACCATGTGGGAGTCCAGTGATGTAACCATTATACCATCTGCTGGTCCCAGCCTCTCAACAATTTTTATTGAATACTTAGATCCCATTGGCCAGAACTGTCCTGCAGCCACCTTCATCTTCAGTGGGAGCTGGATGTGTACTTTCAGTTGTGCACACTGCCATCCCCGATAAGGACTCTGTTTGTATGGATGCAGGGGTGGTGAGCTGTTGGGCAGACAACTTGGAGTCTCCTCCACACACTCCCAGGCGAGCCGACTGCTCTTCAGCACATCGTTCTCTCCTCTGCTCTCTCTTTGTGGGCAGTATTGGAGTTGATGTGTTCTCATGACTGTTCTGCGTTCCCCTGATGACATATGAGTGTTTATTTTAATGTTTTCCATATCTTCAATAGTGAAAATAAGATTCTTTTTTTCTTTTTTTGCTATAGGGCACGTGCGCACACCAGACAGAGACAGCAAGACAGAAAGTAAGAAATCACCCCCCAGGGGGGATGGCCATGCCACAATCCCTTCTCCTCCATTCTCCTCTCGGGATCTTGGGCACGCACGCACATGCACCCGGCGTGAATTTAAGCCACTGGATCCGGGATGCGAACCGTGGTCGACTACATGGGAGTCCAGCGACATAGCCATTACACTCACTGCTGGTCCCCCTATGCTGCGTTCTTGACCAAGACCTCTCATGAACAGACACTATGTTTAATTTACCTCTCTGTTCCTGATGCACAGGATAGTTCCTAGAAGAAAGAAGGTGTTTGCTTGAAGTTAGATGGATGAATGCACAGATGAATTTTGAACTAAGAGAGTGAGCAATGCACTTCATAGAACCAGAGGTCGGTGTTTTCCAGGGGAGATAGTCTATTGGGGTTAAGTAGGTTTTATAAGACCATTTGACCACAATTGCAACCTCATCTCCAGTAAATTAAACCCTCATAGCTGCAGTGTGTCACCTTTCTTTCCAGCTTTTTACAGTCTACTTCTTACTCAGAAGAAACTGAGCAGGCCGGTCAGAGGCTGTTACTTGCACCTGTCACAGCCTAAAGAGCCTCGATTAACCTTGTGTATAAATTACACTTCCTGCCCATTCTTTATTTTTAGCATGGCAATACCTATTTGGCTCCTCCAGAGAAGACTGCATTCGATTTCAGTCTTGAAACCACAAACATTGCCATTTGGGGCTTGGCTGGGATGACTGTTAACCCCGTGACACTGTTTCTTGGGAAGCCGCTCAGCTGCAGATTCGATTTTCCTGAGAAAGATAGCAGCCAGGGCCATCCAGTGTCCTTGGAACCTGGTCGCAGACCATGTGTGCCTTTGCCAAAAACCTTCTTCCTGCATCTGACTTGCGTAGAACTGTATAAACTGTCTATTTCCTTCACTCATTCCCTTAGGGGTGAAACTCAGTTGTTATCGCACAGGTTTGGTTTCGTTGTTTTTTTTTTTTTTTCTTTCTCTGATCCTTCTCAGTTACGCAGTGCATTATCATGACCCAAATCTTTAGCACCTGAACTATATAGTAGAGAGTCCTGAAACCCATAGGGCCAGGCAGGCTGTAGGCATCAGGTCACAGCAAATCTTTCGCTACTTCTGGCTGCTTCACCAGAAGAAGTGAGTTACTTAGAGATGGTTTTGCTGTAGGGCATGTGCACTCACTAGAGACAAAGAGAGAGAGAATGCAGAAAGTGAAAAATCACCCCCTGGGGGATGGCCATGCCGCAATCCCTTCTCCATTCTCCTCTCGGGATCTTGGGCATGTATGCACACATATCCAGTGTGATTTTCAAGCCCACCAGGTCTGGACTCTTAACTGTAGAGTTGGTCACGTGGGATCCAGCACTTTAACCTCCATGCCACCTGCTGGCCCACTATTTTCTCAGTTTTAATCTGCATAAGAGTGCCCTGTTTTCTTCCAGATTTCTCTAAGAATTAAAGGATGGGGAGAGAGGGTAGCTTCTGTTCACTCTAGTCATTTTAATTAATTAATTAAGATAGATAGATAGCTAGCTAGAGGGTACTATACTCACTGGAGAGAGTGAGAAAGCAACTCCCACGAGGAATGAGCACATTGCAGTCCCTTCTCCATTTCTCCATTTGGAATTTGGGGCATGCACACACACATGCCTGGCATGTTCGTTATGATATCAGGTCCAGAACTTGGATGGCCCAGCTGGCTATGTGGGATCCAGCTGCCTTAACCACCACACCACTGGCTGGCCCCTCTAATCTTTTAGATTCAGGTATGATTAGGATAAATAAATGTATGTAGACATACACGTATATGTTTTTCCATTTGTTAGAGAGCACATGTACTTGCCAGAGAGAGAGACAGACAGACAGAGACAAAGAGAGAGCTCTCCCCAATGGGATACGGTCATGTGCCTGAAGCTGGGGATGGGTTGTACATTGGGATTCTTAGGGCAGCTGTCTCTCTCTGTGTCTCTCTTCCTCACTCTTTGTCTTATTTATGGAAGAAATAAACAAATAAACTTAAGAAAAAGTCAGTGAACAGCAGATGGCATAGTGGTTCTATTGCTGGACTCCCACATTGGCTGACTGTGGTTCAAGTCCCAGACCTGGTGGCTTGCAACTCATGCCGGGTGTGTGTGCATGCATGCCCCAAATCCTGAGAGAAGAATGGAGGAAAAAGGATTGTGTGGCCTAGCCATCCCCCCTGTGAGGTGATTTCTTACTTTCTGTCTCCCTGGTGAGTGCATGTGCCCTGTAACAAAAATTTCCCTTAAAAAAAAAGTCATTGCAAGACTTGCACTTTGACTCTGAGTGAAACAATATATGTATCTGAATGTTTCTTCATTTGCAAAGGTTACATTTCCATGTAGGGTTTGGTTTTATAACCCAAAGTGATTGTTGCAAAGTCTCTTCTGTTCAGAGGTTATTTTTCTGATACTCAGGAAGGAAACAGATAAGGCCCATGAGGGGCATAGCAAGTCCCTTACTAAATCCATGCTTACATGTTGGTGTTTCATCCCTCTCAGAAGATCTTGCTCTGGACTCTATTTCACATCAAAGTCTAATAGGCTTGGTTAGCCAGTTCCCAAAAGCGGATTAGAAGTTGGAAGAGGAGGCAGGAAAGAAAGAGGACTAATATAGGCAGGCCCAGTGTCAGCAGCAAAGTATCCAACGCAACCGAGGGGGAAGAGCCCCAACGCAAAAATGAATGAATGAGTGTCTGGATCGAATGAATGGACCAATCAATGCACACTTGCAGACAAAATAATTCAGTGGCACTGCAGTCTAGAGTCCTCAGGCAAGGGGACATCTAGCTCTCCATAACCCCAGAAATATTACTCCTTGTCAGGACCACCCTAGTATGCCAGCACGTGCAGTGTTTAACAAGGCAGGAAATATGTGCCACACTGTAAAGCACATGTAGAGTAAGTTTAGTCCAGTGGTTAGGAGTAAAGCTTAGCGTTGGGCTTCCTGGTTTGAATCCTTGCATCAAGACTGTGCAAAGTAAACTAGTTACTTAACTTTCCCATGCTTAGCTTTGCCACATCAAATGAGCATTCCCCACTCATAAGGTAATTGGGAAGGTTTAAGAAAATAATCCTTGTAATTTTTTTAAGAGGTTTTTGCTATAGGGCATGTGCACTCTTCAGAAAGACAGAGACAGAGAGACAAAAGGCAAGAAATCACCCCCCCCAGGGGGTTTGGCCACACTTCAGTCCCTTCTCCTCCATTCTCCTCTTGGGATCTCAGGCACACATGCACACACACCTGGCGTGAGTTTAAGCCACCAGGTCTGGGACTCGAACTGCAGTTGACTACACAAGAGTCCAGTGACATAGCCATTATGCCAACTGCTGGCCCCAATAATCCTTGTAATTCTAAGCTAAGTTCCTGGCATAGACTAAGTCCTCAGTACAAGCTAATGGTTATTACTGTCATTTCACTGAATCCCAAATCATAACTGCAGCTGCTGTTCAGGAATAGCCCCTGTTTCCCAGCAATGCTGAAGTTTTCCCTTCAGGAAATATAGAGGGTGACTGAGGGAAGTTCTGGAAGAATAAGGACAGTTGCATCCATCCCCTCTATCTCCACTCTATTTGGCAAGAGCAGTCCGGCTACCAGGGAAGAGGACAGCAGGCCCCCCTAGGTACTGGCCATCAGCCACTTCTTAGCATCATACTCCCCTTGAGCAAGACTGGCCCTGCACCCTTTGGCCACTCTCAGGGAAGATCATTTAAGCTGAGATAGCTAGGAAACTACGAAGCTATTTTCCTCCAGATGTTATAGCCTATGCTGTGTAAAAATAATCTGTCTCCAAATAGGAAATGGGTGCATGAGTTGGGTTGGAGAGGAGACGCCAATGCATATTGCAGAGTGGTGACTATAAACTCGTGGAAGTAGCTCTGGGCTGTTTTCCTTTCACCAATGTCTGCTCAGTGGCATAGCTGGAAACCGGGGTGTTCTGTAATGGAAAACCTTGGCCTGGTTCCTCAGCCTAATGTAAAACAGAGACTGCCAGGCACATAAGAGCCCAACAGGAAGGAGCTGCTCTCTTGCCCATGGATAGCAGGACAATAAAGTACCTTGTCCTCTGTTTGTGTTTTCCAGGCTGGAGCAGGAAATACAAGCACTAGAAAGTGAAGAGTCCCAGATATCTGCCAAAGAGCAAATCATCCTGGAGAAACTAAAGGAAACAGAAAAATCCTTCAAGGACTTTCAGAAGGTGAAAAAAACAAATGTGATTTCTCTAAAGTATGCCCATGGGGAAGGAAGCCCTAGCACAGTGGTACCAGTTGAAGGAAAGGCCAGTTGGTATGGACGAGGAGTCTGAGCCACAGGCTCTGTAAAACAGAGGCCAGGTGTCATCCCTGAGGACTCAGGTGTGAGTCCACTTAGTGTGCTAGGAAGCACAGAGAAGAGTAGTTAAATTAACCCATCCACCTGCTGTCCCAACCCCTAATGTGCCTAATGCCTGAAAAATTTTCTCCTATTGGACCCTTCAATTCTAGGTCCAACTCCTATTAAGCAGATTGTACATGCTCCTCATGGCTTTAATTATACTTTGCTTTTTGAATGACCATTTATAAAAAGACCAGAGATTACACCTTATGAAATGAACATGAATTCCAAATACAGACAGTGTAAATACATGAAATTTTACTGTATATAAAAATGAATGGCACTGCGTAGTAAAGAGTAAAGCCAGGAGACTCCGAATATCTCAGGACTTTCCCTCTGTTTTATAATTCCTTCCTCTTTAGTACCTATCAGCAATAGAAAATCAATCCAATGAAATTAATTTTAAGACGGAGTTTTTGAGATCACTTTCCCACACAACCAAATTAATTTGGTATAAGGTGGGAATGGTAAACCCTTCCCTTATAGGTATCCCAGACAAATTCCTAGAAGAAAAGATAGCACTAGGGTTGCACATTCCAGACAAACTCTAGGTTTTGGAGGTGGATGGGGGGAGCTGAGTTAAACAGATGAAGGATTATACCTCTGCATGAATTGTGACACTCTGCCTGCTTTTGTTTCCACAGAGCTTCTCCAATACGGATGGAGGTAAGTGCCCCCTGCCTGTCTGTGGATGAATGTTTTCATCCTCGTCCACTTAGCACGTTTCATGAACACAGACTCACCTGGAAATACAATGTGTTGGTCTGTAAAGGCCTCAGGAGGAAGGAGCAGTACGGTTTGCAGGACACTGAGAAAGTCCACATTCCATGTCTTCACCACCTTTCTTTCAATAACTGCTTCTTGCCTTATGTTAATAATCTTACAACACTGGCCTCTCATTAGTTCCTAAGGGTGCACTGCTTAAGCCTTTCTTGAAAGGTGCTCAGTGAAGACTAGGTTCCTTGAGGGAAAGACCCCATTCATTCTGGTGGTTAGCTCCTAAATTTGCAACACCCATTAGGTCATTGACTGATGTTTAGGAAACTTTGCTAAGGCATCTGATTTTTCTTTTTTCTTTGAGTTAGAAAATTGCAGTTACTCTAGTCTTTGAGGGAAGCAACGGTGGGCAGAACTTCTCTCTTTGTATGGAATAGTTGGCCTGAGCCCAGGAAGGGTGGGAACAGACTTCCTGACCCTTTCTTGGAAGAAGTGGGTCTTTCTTCTCTTTTCCCTTCCCTACCTTGACCCGGCCCTGTCCCTCTTTAACTGGATGGTAAGAATGACCTAGGGATCATGTGCCTCTCGTCCTTCATCTTGTTGCCCTGATATCAGCTACAAACCCATGGTTTCTGCTTTTATTTTGGCTCTCAGCTATTAAAGATCTGCTTGGAAATGCAGGGACTTATTGGAAGAACCAGACTATCATCTGCTTACTTGGTTCTTAAAAGCTCAACCTCTTGACTTGAAAGATGATCAGAAACTAGAATAAGAGTTGACATCAGTGTTTTCCCAGTGTCATTTGGAAAAAAAATATATACATTTTTCTGGATTAGCCAAAGACATTTGCACTAAGGATAGTTTTAACTTACTCCCCTCCCCTCTCCTCCCAAGAAAAAGTGTGCGAGCCCTTCCTCTTACCCCAGCAGGTAGAAGGCAGGAGATCTGGGTCTCCCTGGGTGATCCTTGGGTAGGTACTAAATTAAACCTCATGCTTCTAATGCATTTAGGTGAGGACAGGTCAGGGCCAACCCAGCAGGGACTCCAGAAGAAGACCTACATACAACAGTCCTAGGAAGAAAAGCTGACCTTCTCTAGGGTGTGACTGAATCAGGGCCCTTGTGTGTACCTTGGGGTGGAGCATGGCCTAAGGAGATGGCCTTGGGGAATTGAGGTATAGTATAGAGAGCAGACCTGGGATGCCCTGTGCTAGGGAAGACCCCAGATACTTCACACAGTCAGCAGCGATGCAGTAAGTGTCAGGTTGGGCTGGGACATGGGGCAGTGGTCCACAGACACCCACAGGCCCAAGGAGTACACGTTGTCCTTTGTGCTTTCCCTTCTTTTTTCTCTTCTCTTCTCAGACCAGGACCAGCCATAGGCTTCTCTTGTTAATTAGGGAAGGGAAGGAGCCTGTCTGTCTTGTCCCTAAGAAGGCTGCATAGGGTATAGGAATCTATGGAGTCTATGACTTGTTAACAGGCAAAACCAAAGTCATGTCATATGCTCTGCAACCATTGCTTTCTTTTCCACACTGAACTTCTCCTCTTGTTTCCTCCTGCATTACTTTCCACTGTTTTTGCCCATTCACCTAAGCTGGTCATGATCCAGTCATGACTGGGAACAACCTGCAGAGAAAGTTGCTTTCAGACTCTGTCCACCACATTTTTGCCAGGGTGGGGGAGGATGTCTTCATCTTCTCGTTCCTTCATCCTCAGGAGCGAGAGGATGAAAACATCTTAGGGATCCTTAGAAATCTTGGCCCAGGCAGGAGTGTCCACGGTCGTCCCTGGGTGATTCCTGACATCTGTGTTATAAGTAAGCCTGGGGTTACATCACACCATTTCTGACACGGAAAAAGCTTTGAAGGATGGAGAATGTGATCAATGTGTAGGTCGCTCTGTGGTCTGAGAGTAAACACTGAAACGTGTCCCAGTTGAGGGGCTATGGAATGTCTCCTTATTTTCTCATTCTTTGATTTCAAAGGCCCTGCGTGGCCAAGTCCCTCTGAGAATCAACCCACTGTTGTTTCTAAAAATAACAACAAATTATTGTAGAATGATGTCTTAAGGCAAAGACTATTTCAGAGACACACTGACTACAGAATCTAGGTCCAATTTGGATTATATTAACTATACATGTACTGCAGGTGGTCAGCAAAACATGCCCAGATTGTGAGACATCCAGGAAATGTCTGTTGGTGTGTGTTGTGGTGACCCCACTGCAGATACTCTAGGCATGTGCCCATACCTGTCAGAGGAAGGAGCACCATTCTACTGCAGGCCTCCAGTAGTCTTTTCCTCCCTTATTTCTTTTTAGGCTTTTGCCATAGGGCACATATGCTCACTAGAGAAAGACAGAGAGACAGTGAGTAATCACCCCCAGAGAGGGTGACAATGCCACAGTTCCCTCTCCTCTTTTCTCCTCTTGGGATTCGGGACATGCACACACACACTTCTGGCATGATTTTCAAGCTGCCGGATCTGGGATTCAAGCCACCGTCGGCCATGTGGGTGTCCACTGCCTTTACCACCATGCCACCTGCTGGCCCCTCCAGTGGCTTTTGATTACACAGTACTTGGCAATAAGAGTAATTTATTCCAGTCTTGAGTATAATTTCGTGGCCATATACATTCCACAGCACTGCTACACACACACCCTGTTGTTATGTAGCAGAACCCTCCTCCATCAGAAAGGTTTTTACAGCCTTAGGCAGGCACAGTATCTTGTATAACTGTAAATTGCTATAGTATGTATCTAGTTCCTCACACACTAAGGAAATGATGTGAAACCCAAGGTCAGAATAAGCCAAGGAATCAGTCCTGGGTCCATCTCAATCCTTGCTGCCTGATACTGGTCCTCTTAGGTTCTCATTCCATTGTGGGCTCTGGTGACCTGAGCCCTCCCTAAGTCAAAACCTTCATAACGGGGCCAGCATGTGGTGTGTTGGTTGAAGAAGCTGGATTCCCACATGGCTGACTGCAGTTCGAGTCTCAGACCTGGCAACTTGCTTTCTCCTTTTTCCTTTTTCTCTCTGGTCAAATAAAAATAAAAATAATAATGAATAGAATTAAATAAATGAATGATTCTTTAAAAAAATTTGTCATGCCATTAGTTTGGAAATCTTAATCTTCAGTTGCTCATAAGGTATATTTTAAGGAAATTTTGCATCAATTTTGTTTCTCTAGCTGTAGCTATTGATGTTCTTCCTAGTGACTGTAAATATTTTAGCAGTGCTGGAACTGAAAACCAGCACTCACTCCCTTAAGTGACTGCTTTCTACCGTCTGACAGTAGAGAGGATAGTGAGAGAGCATCCTGACTTGGTAGGAAGAGGGCAATTTATTGATTGAGGTCACCTGAAGAAATTTTCCCATTGAAGGTTTGAAGGCCCTGTTTGTTATTTCTTGTGCTGGTCTATTAGACACTTCCTGGTTACAGAACCTTAGGGTTTAGTACTTAATGACGTATTGAGGGGTCTGGCTTGCCCTTCTCTTCAAGCTCCATTCTCCTTCCCTTATCTCTTAGAGAAAGCCACGTAGCCCCAGACTCTGAGTTGTCTTCAGGGTCATAGTTGTAGACATTAGGCAAAGGTGACTCCATCACCCACTGGCATCTGACAGAGAGCACCTCCTGGAGGAGGCCAAGACCTAAGCCCTAAGAATCACTTGTTACTTCAGGTGGAAAATCTCCTGTTTACCAGTGACTTTGTTTCTAACTGCTAAAACTTTCCATACACAGAGATGCCCTAGAAACTCTGTATTTAACATAGAATTTACTAGACACACATATGACCAGTCCATGTAATCTCACTTGGTCTTGATGGCTTGAGCCTCTATCTAACGTGAATGCAGAAAATCAGATTCATCAAGAACCTATTCCACAAATTTCTAGAATCTTCAGTGATACTCAGGAGTTCTGAAAATCTACCGTAGTCATCTCTTCTCTTCTAAAGTGTCCCTCTAGTCTCAGATTGCTGTTTCATTTTTCCAAAGGGGCCACTGAGACCAATCCATTCCTATTCCCTCCAACCAACTTACTTTAGGCTGTTGATCCTGCCTTGTGCTTTGCTGAGCACAGACCCTTCCCGCAGCTCTCCATACTGAAACCCAAATTCAGGAGTGACAGACGTGCAGTTCTTCATAGAGGATAATGTGTACCATCAGACACATGGCCACACTCAGAGCTCCTAGGTCAGATCCAGGCCTGCTTCAGGGTGTCCCTGCAGGCTGCTTTACAGCTGTCTCCCAGCTCACCATCCTCTCAGAGGCCCAGCTTCCTTTCTTGCTGTCAGGTGGCCTTCCACCCATCATACCTCCCCAACCAGGGTTCAAGCTCCAGCTCACATAAGGCCCCGGAGAGAGAGGACCACTTGAGCCTCACTCCAGCCGATATCCTGCCCACCTAATCTCCCTTTCTTGTTCCTTCTCCCTAGATAATTAATATGGAAGAGCCCATTCTCTTGGAAAAGCTCCATCTTTGCCCTGAGAACATAGTGGACCAGTATTAACACATTTTGGATGATTCAGACTCACGCATGAGCCAAAAAATGTTCTAGTCAGTATAGAAGTGAAGTAATCCCACTCCAGTGCCTATTCTCTATCCTCTCTAGTGTGAGATTTCAAAAAGAAAAAAAGAAACCTACCAGAACCAAGACAGTTTTGATGGGTTACAGAGGAGGGGTCAGGCATAAGAGATATGGAAGAGTAGAGACTGCAGGATTGATTGGATGCTGGGAGGAAGAGGACCCTGATTGAATTGTAATGGTGTCCACAAGCAGAGATGCAGAGCACAGGCCAACCAGCAGAGGAGTAGGAGTGGTTACCAGTTCTGTGTTGAACGTGTTGAGGTGATGGGGGGTATTCAGTAGAGATAAGCAGCGAGCAGTCGGCGTAATCAGTGATGAGTGGTTGATGTTCCAGGATTCCGTTACATGGTCCTGACATGAAGGAATTGCATCATGTGATCACATGTGGGAAACCCTGCTTTCCAGAATCTCCCTGCTTTCGCTTTGCCACTTGTCTGGAGATTACATAGATTCTTCTTGTCTCACCCCAGTGGATTCCTCCTCTGATGCCTTGGCATGCCTGCTAACATCTAGGCCTTTCGAGGTCTCAGCTCTCTAAGTGGGCTTGCCAAGGTATTGGCCCAAGCAAAGCTGATGGTCTCCCTCTATTGCAACATTTCCTGGAGCTGAGCTAATTGTGAGCTCACTGGCTTGTTATTTGGAATCTCAGGATTGGCTGGCTGAAGCACCAGCCTGAAGTATTGAATTCAGGATATATATTTTGGAGGTTTTTTTGTTTTAATGAATATAATTTTTTTTAATGAATCAGGCACATAAAGCTGTATTTCCAGTTTAGAGAATGACTCTGTTTTCGGTACTATTTAGTGCACATTTCTAGTTCAATGTTCCATATTCGGTCAATCCCATCAAGTTGATAATGGCTCTAGCGGGCCCATCTCTGGTTCTTTTATCCCCGTGAACTCATTGTTCTTCTAGAATCTAGAGTTTTCTGATGACTCTTCAAATACATAGAGCGGTCCTGGGGCTTGAGCCCTCTGGCTAGGATCCCTCCTGCCTCAGCTACTCTGCTGAATACCAGTCAAAGGCAAACGCTTGCCTTTGTTTACTCTGATCCCCTCGGCCCAGCGGCCGCCTCAGCGGTCCATTATGTAGGGCAGACGAGCTGCTGTCTTGGCAGTGAACCCACTGGGCCTCCCAACTCTGTGCTAATTGTATTCCCTGTTCTCTGCTACCAGATGCAGTAAATTACATTTCCTCCCAGCTCCCCGACCTGCCAATCCTCTGTTCACGAGCAGCAGAACCATCACCTGGGCAGGACGGGACCAGCAGAACAGCTGGTAAGTCCTGGGGAGCACTTGGATTTTGACACCAGGACTGGCCAAGGGACTCGCATTTGTCTGAGCTTTATGAATGAGGGGTGACCTGATATCCTCGCATAGGGGCACCCGCCTTCAGACCAGCCTCAGATGTGGCATTTTTACAGTGGTCACCCAAGGCAGGTAATTGAGGACCATGTGGGAAGAAGTTTTGAGGAATTCCTAGGATGTTTTCTCTCTAACTTCAGGGGAGTCTTTTGTGTTCATGGTGTTTCTACCTATCTTAAATCTGGGATTTCTGCTTTTCTCTTTGGAATTGCACAAATTGAAAGAACTGTCATGGAGGGTGGATGGAGAGTATTTTCAAAGCATGGGTGTATGTTGTTGAGATCCTTTGGGAATGGAGCTATGTGTATGCTATGAATAAATACTCCCAAGTCTTCCCATTGCTAGAGTTACTTCTTAGCTACTGTGTGGGAAACGTAGCCACTTTAAGAACATGTGTTTCTTGTAATGTTTCTTATACAATTGTGTGTTTTATCAAATAATATATCTATGAGTATAAACTCTGTAGAGAGCCAGATTTTGTTCTGTTTAATGCAGATCTGCCTTAGAAATCAGAACTAGAAGGAAGCGAACAATAAGTCTCTATAGGAGCCCTTTTGCTCCACATAGAAATACTCTGATGGTTGGGGGGGTAGAGTGAAAAAAATGAGTTGCACAAGATTGGACAGTTAGTGACAATGTAGGCGAATTCAAATATAAGCATCAGATGATGTCTTAGGTACTCTGGTAAGTTTATGCTTGTCACTTAATGACACCTTTTATAAAATAAAACAATCTGATTCTTGGACTTTTATGCCAGAGGAAATAGACCAAGTTGACTATTTCATGAAAAAAAGAATCCCTCATTTTAATGTAAAAATAAAATAAAAAGGCAAATATGTGTAGATGTCATTGTTGTTTCCACTACGTTTAAATATTGACTGGGCATCTCTGAAAACATCTTAGCATGTGGCTTTTACACACAGACTCAGAGAGTTCTAAGAGCTGGATTGAATGTAAGTGGTGTCTTCTAAGTCTGGGTCATGACCACATATACTGCGCAGTTACAGGATGGATAAACTGGAGCTTGCAGCCTACAGGTGGGCTACAAAGAAATCCCTAGTGGTCACGTAAGCTTTAGATTCTCTAAGTGTTCCGAGGCGCACTTCTGAGATAACTTGAGTAAACAACTGTTTAAAGGTCCCACACGCTCTCACTCGTTACTGGAAATGGGTGTTTGTGGTTCCCAGTAGTTGTGGGTAAACAGCTTCTCAAATCCCCTCCATAAGATTCTGCACTTCAAAGGACATGTGATATCCAGTGGGTCAGTCAGCTCATGGAGAGGGTGGGGACAGTATGTGAAACCTAATTTTAAGAGATAGAGAAAGGATTTGGACAGCTTTGGTAGTCAAGGAGTTAAAGTTTAAGAGTACTGGGGCTGGCAGGTGGCATGGTGGTTAAGGGTGCTGGACTCCCACATCCCACATGGCTGATTGTGGTTCAAGTCCTGAACCTGGTGGTTTGCTTTCTCACTTTCTCAATCTCTATTTATATATATATATATATATCTTCTCTGGTCAAATTAAAATAAGTAAATAAATAATGTTAAAAAGAATAATTCTAAAAAAAGGGTGCTATATTAATATATAAGTAATGCTCGTAACTACCACAACCTCATACCCCTCATATTTGAAGATAACAGCAAAAGCATAATGATTCAAGGCAAATGCATTTTTTAAAGTATAATGTGATCAGAATCTTTTTAAAAACAAGTTTACATGTACTTTTGTTTATTAGTTAAGAACTAATTTGCATAAACGTATTTACCATGGGAATACACATAAGCAGAGCTGTGGAAGGAAGTGAATTTGATATGGTTGACTCCTTTGCCCAGGCTGTGTTTGGAGTGAGGAGTTCAGATTCACTATCAGTTATGGTTAATGGTGACACACAGAGCATGTGTAGCATGCCAACAATGTCACTCATCACTAGAGTTTTTACAGTACAACCCATCTTGCTTTAGGAATGTCCTTCTGGAAATTTGAACAACCTTGGGCCCATTTTTATAAATGTATCTTGTCATTACTGAGTATTATGACAAATATTCTGGTTGTTTGGAGTTGTGGTGGTTTAGGACTCTCTCTCAATTGGGATTTATTTGGAATCATTGATTTTCAGAATTAGGAGGCATCTATTCCAATCCTTATTCCAACACTGAGTCTCTTAAAGATGGCACCAAATCATGGTCATGCGCCTCCATGATTATGGGTTACTCTCCCTGTAGGTGCTTGTTCCAGCTCTAGTTGGTTCTGACTACTGAGAAATTATTCCTCTGACAGTGCCATCATTTGTCTGCCTCATCTGCCACCCATTGCTTTGTTTTATTTTATTATTTTTCAGAAATGAGATCTCACTATGTTGTCCAGGTTGGCCTTGAACTTGTGATCCTCCTGCCTCAGCCTCCTGAGTAGCTGGATTACAGACTAGTAATCCATATCTGTTTTTCCCACCAATTGCTTCTTATCCCAGCCCCGTGGAGCTACTTACAACAAACCTATGTTCTAATTTCCCTTTAAGTATTTGAAAATGACTGTCCTTTCTTATCTTTCCCAGATCCCTACTCTGTACCTCCAGTCTCTTCAGCTGGTTCTAAAATGACGAGATTGCTTTGAGATGCTCTCCGCCCTCCCTGTCTCTCTCCTCTGAACCCCCCACTCTGTCTCTAGTCTCCCTGAAGTGCAGTGTTCAGAGCTGCCCTGGGTCCTCTGATGCACTTACCAGCAAAGTGGCCTTGCAGCTTCAGTTTATGAAGTAAAACTCCAAAGCTTTTTGGTCAAAATTGATTTATCTATTTCCTAAGAGAGAGAGAAAGAAACAGGGAGGCACCCTCAGCCAGGTCTTCATGTCATGATGCTCCCCTGAGCTCTGCGGCCAGCCAGGATCACAGGTGTGCTCGCGAGCATACCTGGCTTACTCAGCATGTTCAGCAGACCTGGGATGCAGACCTGGAGCTTTCCCATATGGCTTCCAGCATCACATAGCAGTTCCCCTTCTGCCTGCATGACCAGAGCTGGGCCACCCAAAGCCACATGTACATGTGCTGGGCTCAGGCTCCTTGCCTTTATCCACTGCAGTCATTGTTTCAGAACCATTTCAGCTGGAACGTGCAATTTATTCACTTCGACGGGGCACCTGATGCTTCACCTGCTCACACAGGGAAGAACCTACAAAAGTCTTTACTTCTTAATCTCAGAAGACCAAAATAAGAAAGAGCTCTGTGTCTTTCTGCCCTTTGTAGGTTTGACGTGAGTGCTAAGTTTCTTTTTGTTAGACTGTCATGAGTGTTGGGGGGATGCATGCAGTCACTGAGGAACCACAGCAGGGAAGTGGAAAGGGGATTGTCATGGATTGTACCGTAAGGTCTGATGTGCTTTCCCATCCTGGCATTTACATGTATTTCTGCATCAGATTTCATTTTAATCAAGGGTTTAACAGTTTTGAATGTAGAAAACTCTCTTCTTTCTTCTGAGGGTCTTTCTAGCTCATTATTTTGGTACCTCAAATGTTTGTTTTTCTTCCCAGTTTACTACCATCTCAAATCTGAAAAGCAATCCTTCATTGTTTTCCCTGGTTTCACTGATAGAAATGCTGTACATTGGAGCCACAGTGAGAGCCTTGTGGCACATCATTAGGGATGTCTTGGCCTTTGGTAACACAGTCTTTGGCTTTGGTTAGCACCAGTGTATCATGAACATTCAGCCAGGAGCAAGTTCGCACGGTCTTCTGATACCCAAGGCCCAGGAATGTAAGGGACTTTGTACTTACGTACCATATGTATTTTATCTCTGGCATTTGCTTAATCTTCACAGAGACCTTTAACATAAAAGAAAATAAGATTATTTTATATCATTTCTGCCTAATGAACCCACTTTGGCTCTTGATGGTCTCCACTCTCTGAAAATTAACTTTAGAGTTTAGTTAGCTATGATGTCAAGTTGTTTAGAAACTCGTCCTCGTTTTGAAAATGAGAGCCTCCAGCGCCCTTTCTGCTGTACAAGATTCCTGAGACAAATTCAGTGATAAAGAAACTGGAACCCTGAGCCCAAAGCTTGTATATCCTGGGTGCTTTACTGTTTTTCAATCTTTTCTACTTACGTAGGCTTCTCTTCCCTCTCAGCAATATTCTTTCCAGCACTTTCAGACAGAACACTATCCTTCCTGACCAAGGACATAGAAGCAAAATCAGATAGAAGAAATTGACTTTTGCCTTGGTTATCCATCAACATCACACCCTTGGTGACTTATTTTTGTTAATACAAAATAAGGTGTCTTGGGAAAACAATTACTTCAAAGAATGTTTTGATCACTAGGTTTTGGAGCAGAGATTGTACTTTAAAATGAGAGAGAGGATCCGCTCTGAGTTAATTTTCTCATTTACATTGTCATTGATATTTCTAACCTCAAGAGAATGCTTGAACAAAGGGACTTCAAAAAGTTTGTTGAAAAATGGAATTAAAATATGAGTTTATATAGGGACCAACAGAAGGCGTAACAGTTACGCCGCTGGACTCCCATATAGTCGATCGTGGTTCAAGTCCTAGACCCGGCAACTTGAAACTCATGCTGTGTGTGTGTGTGTGTGTGTGTGTGTGTGTGTGTATGTGTGCCCCAAATCCCAAGAGGAGAATGGAGGAGAAGAGATTGCCACATGGCCAACCCCCAGGGGGTGATTTCTCGCTTCCTGTCTCTTTATGTCTCTTGGGCAAGTGCACACACCCTATAGCAAAACCTCTCTTAAAAGAATACATGAGTTTATTTGGTGCAAACATTTTTGAAATTCGTGCACACATTTTTCATAATATATATTTTCCATGAACTTCTTGGAGATTCCTCATATGTTTATGCATAATCATATATACGCAAAGGGACAAGACTGCACATACATGTGTTCATTAAGTCAAGCATATGCCTTTCTT